ATGAAACACAAAAACTTTTCTTGAAAGAATCATTTCCTTTAAAAAAATTGTTTGGGGGGGGGCACCTGGGTGGCTTAGTCGGTTAAGAGTCTGACTTTCGCTTAGGTCATGATCTCGCGGTTCGTGGGTTCGAGCCCCGCGTTGGGCTCATTTTTTTAAAATGTTTTAAATGTTTTATTTATTTCTAGGAGAGAGAGAGAGACAGCATGAGCAGGGGAGGGTCAGAGAGAGAGGGAGTCACAGACTGAAACAGGCTCCAGGCTCTGAGCTGGCTGTCAGCACAGAGCCCAACGCGGGGCTCGAACCCACGAACCGTGAGATCGTGCCCAGAGCTGAAGTCGGACACTTAACCGACTGAGGCCCCCCAGGCGTCCCTGAAAGAATCATTTCCTATTTTAACTCCTCCATGTAACTTTAGCCATAAAATGAATTCTATATTTCTTATACATAAACCCAGAGTACTTCGTAGGAGTTCATTTACAAACCATTACATAGAATGCCAGTTATCCCTTGATCAGAGAGGTTTTACATATCCATTCCTTCAACCTGGTGGAAAATATAAAATCTTTGATTGACTAATTGAATTTATACACAGAGAAAGAACGTGACTATGCAACGTGATTTTATAATTACACTGATAGCTCTAGAGGGCTATGTCATTTGCAGACAGGCAACTACATACCCTCAGCCGTTCCTTTGTTTCTGTTCTGCCCATTTGAATGGACTCTTGGCCTCCTCCGCTAGCGGAAGCCTGCTGGTCATGCCTATTTGTGACGTTCATGACTCTCTTCTTTCTGCCTGAGTCAGGGGCAGTTAAATGGCCCATTTCACTGATGTGAGGGGAGGCTAGGTAACACCCCTCAGCCGAGGACAAGCCAAGTTAGTCTGGGGTCCATTAATCATTTTCTGATTTACCATTTATTCACAAACCCCTTCGTTCAAAATGAAATAGAATTGGAGGAGGCTTCTAAGATGCATACAACGCACTAAGATAGAAATTAAAATAAATCAGGAAATTGAATGGACACACAATAAAGAGAGAGAAAGACAATCAAGCAAGACGTGCTGAAGTCAGTACCTAAAGGTGCCCGAAGTTCTGCCCTGGCTACGTCTGGACTCCAGTTTGTCTCTGATCTCACGAGAGGCCGAGCAGAAAGGAAATCACGCCCTATCGGATGTGCAGCGCCCTCCAGGGAAGAGGAAGCCACTGCGTAGAACGTACACATCTTGTCAACATGCAAGAAACTTCTCCCCATAGCCTCACGTAGAGAAGAGGGAACTGTCCCCAGTGGTGCTTCTATAATGACAAAATATGTTGAATCTTCTATTTTCTTCATGTAAAATAATGTTTCAAACTCATGGAGGTGTCAGGATGCAGGGAGAGTTTATTGCCTCCTTTAATAATTAAGTGTGTCTATTTTTGGAAAATTAGCTGAACTGAAAAGGGCCGGCACTGAGTTGAACCTCAGTTTCTTCCTCCTTGTTAGCATGATGACATTTCCAGAACCCAAACTCGCGCGAATAGGTAAGCACAAACGCCAACCCCTGATTGCTCGCTTTCCGAGCTCCGTTGGTAGAAATTTAGGACAGCATCCAGCATGGCCCCACCAGGATGTGCATGTCTGGGGGGCAGCTGTGGCGGGGGTCTGCGATCCTCCTGAGGGTTCCCGCCCCCACGAGCATGCCTGTGTTCTAGAACACTAGTTCAGAGCTTTCATACTCAAGAGAGCTCACTGGCTGTCTTCTTCACTTCCTTGCCGCTGATGCAGTAATCTTCATCCTTAATAAATAAAGAGATTTCTAGAAAAGCTGTTATAGGCATACATGTTTTTTTTAAAAAATGGCTCCCCAGTAAACACTGAAATGAGCAGAAGGAAGCAAAATTAGTGAAGAAAACTACCTACTTCGACTTAATAAAAGGCCCCAGTCTGCATTAAGTTGAAGAAGAACGCCAGAAGTCTTCACCCAGTTAAAACAAAGCAAACCAAGAAACAGTAAGTCCGATGTGGCCATGGTAAAAGACCATTCCACGACAATGGCAGTAAGTAAGGTGGAAAAGGCCGTTTCATCTCAGTAGGAGAAACAAGCAAGAAGATGGAACATTCTGGACAGATAGGACACCTGTCATGTTTTAGCCACTGAGCATTTCCAGCAGCCATGCCCACAGCCATAAAGGTCACTGTATTAGACACCATGGATTATAGAACATTTCCTTCATCATAGTAAGTTCTACTGGACAGAGTTGGTATAAAGAAAATGTGATACACACACACATAACACACATACACAGTAGAATGATATTCAACCATGAAAAAGAAGGAAATCCTGCCATTCGCTGCAACAAGGATGAACCAGGAAGACAACGTGCTAAATGAAATAATCTGGACAGACACACACAAAAAAACAAATACTAGGCCATCTCACTTATATGAGGAATCTAAAATAGTGATGTTCACAGATGCAGAGTGTGGAATGGTGGTTGCCAGGAACTTGGGGTAGGGAGACTGAGGGTGTGGGTCAAAGGCTTTCGGTTATAAGATGAGTAAATTCTGAGAATCTATCGTACAACATGGTGACTGTAGTTAGCAATACTGTACTGTATACTTGAAATGTGCTTTAGAGTTCTCACTACACAAGCACGCACACACAGAGGTATCTATGTGGGGTGTGTGGGGTGATGGATGTGTTAATTGATTGTGGTATTCATCTCACAATGTATACCTTAAACATATTTTTGTCAATTAGCCTCAGTAAAGCTGGAAAAAACATTCACCTTCATACCTAATTTTGTGTTTGTAATTTTGTGATATTTTCCTTAAAGAGGATCACCAAGTTTGTATACGCTTTAGGTCCCACTCATTGGCCTTATCCATTTACTGTGGAAAATGCAGTGATACCATCATGTCCCCCTTCATTCAATAGAGCTTAGTAGCTACAAGCTCAGGTTTTGAGAACCGCATATCTGGGTGCATATTCTGGGTCTGCCACTTCTAACTGTATGCCTGTAGCCTCAGCATTTAATTGCTCTAAGTTCTTCCTAATCTGTAAAACTGTAATAACAACAGTACTGGCTCACAGGCTTACAATGAGGATGATACAACATAGTGCCTCATTGCCGCCAGCACACAGTAAGTACAGTACACAGCATGGATCCAGTGAGTATCAGCTCTCACTGTTTTTTGGTGTTTGGGGAGTGAAGAGTCTTGCAGGAAATGCAGGTGAATAAAGACATTTTCAGGGAAACAAAAGCTGACCTCCTCTAAAGTATATACTTCAGGAAAATTATCATTAATGAAAAGTCTAACATGCAAAAAAAAAATGAAGAGCAATGAAAGTGTAAAGATGTGGATTAATTATAAATGAGCAGTTACTGTATAAAACAATAACGGTAATGTCCTGCACAGTTAAAAGATATATAGAATTTAAATGCACACTCACAGTAGCTAATAAATTGGGAGGGCAGCAAATATAATTAAATTATTCTAAAATCCTTCAAGAAGAAGGTCAAGCATTGATTGTCTTTAGGCCTTGAAAAGTTGAGTATACATGTTTTACTTTCTAGGATAAACAAAAAAAAGTAGAAACAGGCTTTATAAATTCTAAATCAGTAGAGGGAAGGAAAAGGAATAATAAAAAATACTCAGCCAATCCAAAAGATGGCATTAAAAGAGAAAAGAAAGAGTAAGTGAGACAAGGACAATCCACAAATGAGGTGGTAGATTTAAACCAAAAGAGATCAGTAATTACATTAAATATAAATGGACCAAATGCTCCAGTTAAAAGACACAGATCATTGGAATGGTTCTTGAAATATGACTTTTTAGTATTTATAATATCAGTCAAATGAATGCTGACGGAACTTATTCTAGAGTAAGAAGATCACTCATAACAATAAATTTATAAATGTTAAATTTATATGTACTTAATAACACACTCAAAATGTGTATACTAAAAATTGACAGAACTAAAAGGAGAAACAGACAAATCCACAATCTTAGTAGGATATTTTAACACAGCTCTCTTGGCACCTGGAAGAACAAGCCCGCAAAAATCAGAAAACACGTGGAAGTGTGGCTAACAAGACCCCATGAGTGCATATGGAACAGTGCACCAACAACTACAAAATACAGGCACACATGGGCCATTTTCAAAACTTCACTTTAGCGGCACCTGAATGGCTCGCTTAAGCCTCCGACTTAGGCTCAGGTCATGATCTCACGGCCCGTGGGTTTGAGCCCCTAGTCGGGCTCTGTGCTGACAGCTCGGAGCCTGGAGCTGCTTCGGATTCTGTGTCTCCTTCTTTCTCTGACCCTCCCCTGCTCACGCTGTCTCTCTCTCAAAAATAAATTTTAAAAACATTTTAAAAATTGACTTTAATACACCAGGACTGGGCACTTTTGCATATATGATCTCCTCTGATCATCATAAAATTATAAAATAGTCATCTCGACTGGACATCTTCCACCTGCCCCTCCAGACTCACCGTGCCCCGTTCTCTGTCATGCTCTATGTCCTATGAAGTTGATGTATATTGGGTGCATTCACAGACCCCTTTCTCCTCTGGTTTCTGGTTGGATTCAGCCAGTGGGAGGCGAGAGCAGAGGTTGTTGGGTGGGAGGAAGGTTTCCTGCAAGGACCCTGGCTTAGCGTTAGCATCCCCGTCTGCCTTTAGGGAAAACATAAGCTCAGGGAGGTCAGCCACTCATCTAAGGTCACAAGCTGTATCTCCCCTCCAGGTGTAGAAATAAGGACAGTTTCATCTGTAGCTCCCAATATTTATAAATTATTAAATGTAGATAGTGGTATACCCTGTTAGTATGTCAAATAACTTTTGAATGTGAGTTTTAACATGGCCTTTTTTCGTTTCTTAAATGCCAGGGACACCGTGTCTTCCATTTAAAGTATGTGTATTCCATTGTTGTCTCGTTTTGGTGCCTGATGCCTCTTAGAGGAAGTTGTTTAATAGAGTGAAGACGACCTCCTACCTTGCTATCTTTCAGATCGACATGAGGTTATCTCCAAAGAAATACTGGAGCTAGACCCATGGGAAAACCAGTGGAATGTTGTGGCCGTTGATGTCCTCATGCACGACAGTTACGATGTCTGCCTGGTGGCCAGGATGAACCCCCGAGACCTCATCCCCCCGCCTTCAGATCTGGTGCAAGAAGGCAGTGAGCACTGAAGTCGGTGTTTGCTGGAGGCTCCTGCTGTGTGTGCGCAGGAGCCGCTAGGAATGGAGAGAGCCCACGGGCACCAGCCAGTCCCCCTGGACATGTGTGTTGCATGCATAGTGGCCCGTGTGCAAAGCAGTGCGTGCTGGGTGCTGTGATAGGGAGGGAGCAGAGTCCACGCTCAGGGATGGGTGGTCGGCTCGGATGGACAAGACGTTCCAAGGCCACGTGTGGCGATGGCACGGAGGACACAGGTGAGCGCCGTAGGGACCCAGGAGGGAGGACAGCACTGCCGAGGAGCAGGCCTTTCACCAGGGCCTCGGAGGATGAGGAGGCAGCAGGCCGGTGGGTGCAGCTGACGGGGCCCTCACAGCAACGGCTGAGCAGAGGCCCAGGGCTGGGCCAGGCTGCCGGGGCCACAGGCCCTGCCGCTGAGGCTGGAGAGGGAGGTGGCAGAGGAGTGACCGACGCCTGGACGACTCTGGTGGCAGAGTGAGTGGGCCTGGTCTCTGAGCAGGGGACGTGCCTCAGCACCCTGTCGTGTTAAAGGGGACGTCCCCCTCTGCTCTGTTCTGGTTTCGGTCCTACGAAGGCTTTCTATTCTTGCGTACGATATGCTTCTACCGCAACAACATCGCCCAAAACGGGGCTCGCGATGGACCACAAGTTCCAACAGCCAAGGCCCTGAAGCCCGACCACAGTGAGCAGAGGGGAACCCCACCCTGGGCCAGGTCGGCGTCAGGGACGGGGGGGGGGGCGCCCTGCCGCCTGGTCCACTCACGCTGGCGCACAGTGTCCGGGACGAGCCTCACCAAGCTGCCCTTGGCCGGCTCTCAGGCGCACATGACCTTCGGGACATGGGCCCTGGCTGCATGCACCTGGCGGAGGCCACCCATAGACCAGGCTTCGGAGCGGAGGAGGCAGGAAGCATGTGCTCTTGGCTCCCGGCCGCCTGCCCTCTTACTCAGCCTTTGCAACGTCTCCCCCGAGACTGGAAGGTAGGGATGGAGCTGCCTGCCTCGGCCCACGTTGAGCATAATCAGCAAACAGGCGCTCCCAGAATGTACTTGAGGGCTGACATTTAAACGACGCATGGGAAATGCATCTGTCTTGCTCGCCGTCCATACTCCCGACAGCACAGTGGATTCAGAGTGCATCTCAGTAGCGGTTCTTCAATAGCTTCAGGTTGTCCCCCAGCAGGCCAGACTCCGGGGGGACAGGGGCCGTGTCTGTCCCTTGCACCTCAAAACTGTGCTACTTGGAGCCCGCAGTGAGCAAAGTGTGCTTTCAGGCAGTGAGGCCCGTGCCCTTCCCTAGCGTTTATGCAGAGGGTTCTAAGGAGACCTCCCACGTGCGTCCCAGTGAGCTGATCCTTCTCCCTACTCTGTGGGGTCTTTTTCTTGCTGCAAAGGCAGAGCAGTTCCTGTGAGTGGGCTGGGCCGGCCGTGGCAGCCATGGTCGCAGAGCCCCCCCCAGGTCTGCTTCCCCAGCTTCCTCTTAGCAGAACCACGGCGCCTGCTCCACACACACACCGGAAGCCGCCACGTTTGCCTGCATCAAGGAGCCTTGTCGGCGCGTCACCATCCATCCTCTGGAGGCCCTGGGGTCAAGATCTCGGCCCTGGCGCCAGCCTTGCTCCTTAGCCAGCTGTGTGGTCCTGGCCAACATAACCCTTCCAAAGCCTTATTTTCCCCAAATGAAGAACGGGAAGAAAAAGTCTTTCCTAGGGTTGGTGTGAGGACTGAGTGAGAAAGTGCTGAGCACAGTCCCTGTTCGATACCAAAACAACAAGCACCCTTCACCCGCCGTTCTTTCTAGTGGCACCGCCATTGTAACCCGCGTTTCCCGAAGCCTGGCGCCCACAACAACCAGTCCCTGGGTGGGGGGACTCATGAGGTTGGAGGGGAGCCGTGCACATGTGTGAGGGGTTCCCAGCGCCCCAGCCCCAGGCCCTCCGCGGGGCGTGCAGATACACACGCAAGCCTTCGCTTCAGCGTCTGTTTTAAGCCCAGGGTGCTTTTAGTCTGACTTTCGTATTTGTCATTAAACACGAGACGCCTCGGCCCTCCTGTTGGCGGATTTTGCCGGAGACTCGGCTTTGAATTCCTACCGCCCTTCCTTCCTCTCAGCTGAAGGCTGTCCCCGTATCTCAGTGGAGGACTCCGGAAACCTTGACTCTTTGCCAGCTCTTCTCTTGTGGGACAGGATTCCTGGACACTGAGCCGCGCAGAACATAGCGGGGGGAACCTGGATGCTGAGGCCCGTGAGAGACGGCCGCCGCCAGCTCGCTGCTGCCCGGTGTCCCCCAGAAAGTCCACTGTCCTCACTGATCGACTTTATGATGAGCGAACACTTTAAATTGGAACTTACAAATAAAAACGTGCTAATGACAGATCGCTATTATTGTTTTTCGTATTGCAATTTCATGTCGATTTCTCTTGGAGAAGGGGCTCTGTGCCCGGGGAGCACGGAGCATCCCAGGGCGGGCAGGGACGGATGTCCGCCAGAAGATGGGGGGAGCAAGCAAACCCCAGAGGCCAGGGCAGGTGAGGTGGGCATGGGGGCAGGAGGTGACCCCACTTCCAGGACGGTCGAAGCACAGGAGGATGTCAGGGAAAGGAGCTGAGGCCGATCACGAAAGACCTCGAATGCCACACCCAGGAGTCGGTCGCTGCCTCGGCACCTCGGTCTTGGGCGGAGGTTCTGTGGGAATGGCCCTCCGGGGTGCAGTGTGGACGGGCGGGGTGAGAGCAGACACGGGCGGGAGTCCCTGTCACCGAAGCTGAACTAACCTGGTGACCGTGAGGTGGGACGGCAACCTCGCACAGAAACGCAGGCCGTCTGTGCTTTGCCGGCGGACTCGGAGGGGGAGGGGCTGGGGGCTCTGCCACGGGAGGAAGGCCAGTCAGCCGGAACCGAAGCCCGGAAAATCTTTTAGGGGTCCTGCCCCCTCCTCCGGTGACCCTTAAAGGCAGCCACCACCCAGATGGCTTCAGCCGTTCACACCGGGCCCAGCTGGGAGTCACCAAGAGAGAAAAGAGGGTTTGGGGTGTGGTCGAGTCACCCCACTTCTCTGCCAACCCTAAAGCCCCAGCCGGCCCCCGGCCTTGTCTGCAGCAATGGGGAGGCCGTCCCGGGTCTTCGGAAAATCCTGCGCCAACAGTCAGGGGAGCCACTGCTCGTACCAGAGCTAATGTAACAACCACGTGGCACAGTCCCGGCCCAGGGATCCATGGGGAAATCTCTGGAAGGGCTTTCTCTGCCAAGTGTTCTCAAGTCTGCGTGCCAGCGGACCTGCGGTGACGAGGAGGTAGAGACAGCTGCAGCTGATCCACGGGTGGGGGCGAGTGGGCGCGTGGAGGGACCCAGGCCCCGGGTAACACCCGGGAGCCACCAAACGAACCAGCTGGGGAGCCTGTGGCGACCAGCCACGCGTCCCGATAGCTTGTTCCCTAATGTTCGGACTTCCTGAGTTACCTGCTGCCCAGGGTCTCCTGACACTCCATCCCTGCCCCACCACTCGATACCCCTGCCCCAGGGGGGACTCAGTCCGGACGCCGGGATGCCTGGTGAGTATCTTCATTCACCGTGAAATGCCGTGATTTCAACACATTAAGAAATATGTTAATGGGATATTTTACTTTTGTGTTTTACTAAGTCTCTGAAATGCACACCTCAGGCCAGGCCACGCCGCAAGCGCTCAGTTCCCCCCCCTCCCCTACCGACGGCTACTTGCACTGTCCCCAGGGGCCCCAGAGGATAATGCAGCAGCCACATGCCCACCCGCTTGTATTTGAGGGCCAGTGTGAGCACTCAGCCCCCCCCCACCCCAGAACATTCCCCGGGGGGCTTGCGCCCCCTGCACCCACCGGCTCCCTCCCAGCCACGCAGCACCCCTCCCCCGCCATCCCCACCCCCTCCCCGCCTCACCTGCCTTTCTCATACTCCCCAGTGCGGTGAGACCATGCCCCCTCGTTACTTTGATCTTCATTTCTCTCATTACTAATGGGTTTGGGCCGAGCTACTTTTAAAAGCATCTCTCCCACCTAAGGGGCACCAATAACAGATTAGCTAAATAAACTACGTTGTCTCTTCCAACGGCCGGCAGTGGGGTTGTTATAGAGAACGAAGTGTTCATGCACCGGCCAGGACAGGTCGTGAGGCAGGGAACCAGGGTGCGGAGCAGGGGAGAGGGTGTGAGGGCCTGACGCCGCCGTAAGCAGACAGCTGTGCGTGTGCGGAACCCCTCGCCAGTAACCGTCTTCTCAGGGGCTTTCGGCACTCGCTCTGCCCAAGTGCTTTCCCATCATTAAGGGCACAGCTTTCCCTGCAGCCTCAGTGGGTGGAGCACGTGACTCTTGATCCCAGGGTTGTGAGTTCTAGCCCCGCGCTGGGCATGGAGACGACTTAAAATACCAGCACACATGCCCGCCGAGCCCTACTGAAAACAGTTTTCCGGCTCAAAAGCGGATGCACCCAGGCACCGCCCTCCTGGCCTCTCTCAGTGTCTAGAACCCCAGGTGCGGGACGCTGGGTGCAGAGAAAGCCTTCGGGGGCCCCAGTTCCATCCCAGCCCCCACGGCCTGCTGTGCGGCCTCGGGCGCCCCTCCTCCCCTGTCTGGTCCCTAGCCACTTCACTGGGGGCGCTGGAGAACTGAAGGAGGTGATGTGCGTGCCCCCCTGGGGCAGAAGGGGGCAGTGGCCCTGGGCTCTACCCACAGCTCTCCCGGGCCACACCCCACCCACCCACCTTCTGTGACCCGAAACCTCTCTGCGCCTGTTTCTCCTCCTGCAAAAAGAAGGGTGAGAGAGAGCAGCGTCCGCCTCAGGGTAGGGGTGAAGACCAGGCATGGAGGCCACACCACTGAAGGGATTCGGACGTCTTCTGTGGGCTGGTCTCTCCAGCTCCCCACGCGCACCCGGAGCTCTCCGCTCCTGCAACGCACTCTTGCTGAGGGTCCGCCATGTCCACACGCCACTCCGGGGACTCCCCTCTTCAGTCTCCGCAGAACATAGAAAGCTGAGCAGAATGAGAAAGAAAAATAAATAAAGATCAGGGCATCGTGAACCCCAGAGAGGAAGGGAAGCCATCGCTTTCTATTGCCTCAGCTGTGACTGGTGTTCACATCAGTTCACAATAACGCCAAGCCTGAGCTGGAATGAATGACTGGGAGGGGGGAGGGGGGAGGGGGAGGGGGAGGGCACCGGCATGGGTGAGGACAGGGGGGAAAGACCCGCGACAGGCAGGCGCCCTCCACTCCGTTACTGCAGGAAAGGCCCGAGTCGGCGCAGGGCCGGTTCTCAGGAGCTAACGGACCGCAGGTGTGGAGGCCGCTGAACCTGCGAAACTCAGGGCTGGCCTGGACGTACCACAGGCCCCTGCCCTCACCCACCGGAAGGGGGACCCCAGGCCCAGGGCCACACCAGGGGCTCGTGGCAGGACCAGACACGACCCACTCAGCTGACCCCGGTCCCCTCCTCACTCACTCATGCGTGTGCACGTGGAGAACATCACTGCCTAAGGACCACGAGACAGCTGTGTCCCTCTGGGCCTCTCTGAGCCTCTGTTACCCCATCTGTAAAGTGGGGGTATAGTGGCACGCGCCTCTTAGGGTGTGGGGGTTAAAAGCAGGCACATCGATGAAGCGCGGAGGGGAATCTTGGCTCATCTGAGAGCAAGGGTCCCCCCTCTGCCGGGAAGAGACAGCCTGAGTGGTACAAGGTCAAGTGAAAAAGGCAAGATAGAGAACTAAGTATATAACCCAGCTCCACTGGGGGGTGTGGACAAGGCCATGAGCACCACCACACCCCAGACACACGCACACGCACACACACCCCCCCCCACAGTCACACGCATACATGTCTGTGCCCATGTATGCATGTGTGTGTTTATGAGTGTGTAAGTGTGTGTACAGATGCAGGTGTGTGTGTGCCTGTGTGTGTGTGTGTGTGTGTGTGTGTGCGCGCGCGCCCTAGAAGGGTAAATACCCAAAACTAAAGAAATTGAACCTGGTCTGGTGCATAAAAAGGAACTAAGACCCCCTCCCCCACTTCAGCATTTCCTTCAGAAAAGTTGAGATCGTAAATGCCATGTCTGTCTCATTCAGATGTATGTAAATGTCTTTTTTTAAAGTGTATTTATTTTGAGAGAGAGAGAGAGAGAGAGAGTGAGCAAGAAGGCAGGAGACGGAGAGACAGAAGGAGGGAGAGAACCCTAAGCAGGCTCCACACCGCCGGCACGGAGCCCCACGTGAGGCTCAAACACACCAACTATGAGATCATGACCTGAGCCAAAATCCAGCGTCGGACACCCCACCAGCTGGGCCACCCGGGTGCCTAAATAAGGGGGCGCCTGGACGGCTCCATGGGTGAAGTAGGAGACTCCTGATCTCTGCTCAGCTCATGATCTCACAGTTCATGAGATTGAGTCCTGCATCAGGCTCTGCACCGACAGCATGGAGCCTGTTTGGGATTCTCTCTCTCCTCTCTCTCTCTCTCTCAAAAATTAAAAAAAAAAAAAAAAAAAAAAAAAAGCTACATAAGGAGGCACCTAGGTGGCTCAGTCAGAAGAGCATGTGACTCTTAATCACAGGGTTGTGAGTTCGAGCTCCACATTGGGTGTAGAGATTGCTTAAAAAAAAAGTAAACTTTTTAAAAATAAATAAATAAAAGCTAAATAAGCTTCTTGACAGTTTTGCATCCTGGGATTGGTTGCCTTTCTAAAACGTAACATTCAGGGGCTCCTGGGGACTCAGTTGGTCAAGGGTCCGACGCCGGCTCAGGTCATGATCTCGCGGTTCGTGGGTTCGAGCCCCGCGTCGGGCTCTGTGCTGACAGCTCGGAGCCTGGAGCCTGTTTCAGAGTCTGTGTCTCCCTCTCTCCCTGCCCCTCCCCCGCTCACGCTCTGTCTGTCTGTCTGTCTCAAAAATAAATAAACATTTAAAAACGGTAAACATTCAGGAGGCGGGTGCCAGGCCCGGGGAGCGTCTGGCTGCTCGTCAGAGGGCTGGCGGACGGCGCCTGTCGGGCACAGCCGGCGGCCGCGGCTCCAGGAGGGGCGCTGTCGCCGCCGCCCTCGCCCCCTCTCCGCGCCGCGCCCGGCGCCCCCGCGGGCCGGCCCCACGCGCACCTTTCCCCCTCCCTCCTCGTCTTCGTGGGAGGCTTTCCGGGTTGGCAGGGGATTCCCATCATTTCCCAGCAGCCTGTGCGGGTGCACACGGACACGACTGGGTGTGTGCGTGTGCGCACGTGCGTGTGCGCAGGTGTGCGCGCGCGTGCGTGTGTGCGGGTGTGTGCATGTGCTGGTGTGTGCACGTGCGTGTAGGCATGGGGGGGTAGCAAGCCCCCCGGGAAGCTGGTGCACCCCCCCCCCCACGCTGGGCCTGGGAG